GTGAACCGGAACGAACCGGATTCCATGCAACTATGCTTCTAATCTTTCCTCCACTTATCAAAGTTTCTGGATCTGCCCGTCTCTTACCCTCCTGAGCCTGGCAGCCTAAATCTCATCTAGAGTCCTTTCCTTGTTGCTGTGTGTTCCTGTACACTCTTACAGTATTCCACCAGCTAACCACCTGCAAACATAATTTTATACATGGTATTAATTAAATTACGCTATGGTATAGAATAAGGGATCATTATTAACAGTGACCGATGTGTTAATATGTTGTGGGGATTCCACACGAAGGTGTAGTTTTGGGAGTCTTCTGTGGGATCAAACCACAAGTTGATCTGGCTGATTTGGCTATGTGGATTTTGTTTCAAGGAGACAAACAGGCTAATTGGACTCTCTCCTTAATTTGTTCATTTATAAAACAGAATTTAGATCGTTCCAGTTACCATACTTCTACTCATGATAAATTCGGCCTAGGTCCCTTGAAACATAGATGCATGAGATGTGTGATTAGAACTTTCAGTTCCTTCTGGGCAATACTGAATGTATGAGGATAAAATATCTACAAGGTTATATGCATCGCACGTCTGCACAGCTGCAGTATGTATTTGAGCTCATCTTATTATAAGAAGACAAATCTTTTCACAATGTCAACTCTCTAAAGTTTTTAGTAGAGTTTTGATAATCTCCCTTTGGTTGCAGGTCTACTGCAGCTGCTAATAAGCTAGATGAAGCGGGCTTCCAGAATATATCTTGTATAACTTCAGGTCTTCAGTCAGTAAAGCCAGGTCCTATTCTGCACCTAGATATAACTTAACTTTGTCCTTACTACTAGTAGAAAAGAATATTTACACAATTGTAAGGTGCAATGTATCCAATTACACAGGAACTTTCGATTCAGTTGGTTCTGTTGAATTGCAAAATGCTGGCAAGGCTGGCCTGGTTACTGTACAGGGGAAAATCTCAGCAGTGCTTGGGACTGTGTTAATCTGTAAGCTCTCATTACATATAATTTATTTAAAGTATTATAAGAATTCCTGATTAAAAGTTCAGCACAGTAGTTGAAATCTATGTTATCTCATAGTATGATGTTCATATGTGCAGGTGCCTATCTGTTTATAACTTTCTTCCCGGATCAAGCAGAGAAGATACTTCAAATGAGCCCTGCAAGTTAGCCATTGCTGCATTATGGTCAATTTTTTGAGTTCGCTGTACAAAGTTAAGACTGTTTCTTGCTTCTGTGGACGATTTCAATTTCTCCTATGTCTAAGTTCATAATTACTATCTTGTGAAAGATTCATCCCCCTTCTGTGGATTAATCTGTGATGTTTGCATTTAATATAGGCGATGAAGGCTGGCCAATGGAGAAACCTCAAGAGTGCTAGTCTTTCCGTGGTTACTGAGTGTGTGAATCCTACCGAGAAAAAGTCTATGTTAATGTATTTTTCTTGCTTAATCCACATGCTGTTCTCATTTTTCTTGCTTAATTAGCTGTTCTCGTAGTCTTTTTGTAGGCAGGCATCTTTGCAGACTGTACTCAAATGTATTTCTAGTAAGGAAAGCAATCGCTGTATTCATGAGGAAAGCTACAGTATGGATTCATTATAACTCCTAGTTGAATTTATAATTGGAGTTGGATTCTTGGGCGCATAATTGGTGGTGATTTGGCGATTTAAATTATCACATACTCATGAGAAAAGAGTTGGACAAAAATAGGGGTAGGTGTACTGCTAAAATTCTTTCCGGTTTCAGGAAAAATCTATTAGGAAGACAAGTAAGTTGCATTTTCATACAAGGGTAAAAGATTTATCTCCTTTTCTTGCTCCGCTAGAAATGCATAAAGAGTAAAAAAAGAATAGTTTTTGGTATTTCTCTTTTCACTCTCCATATAAATATGTCAAAAAGATTATGGGAAAAATGTGTCCAGGCCCCAAAAACAGAAACTCCATGTGCTGCAGCCCCTCCTAGTTTCCCCAATGTGGTTCAGCCCCTTGAAGTATGACTTTTTGTGCTGCAGCCCCTTTTTAACAATTGTTACATGCCAACTAAGCTAAAATCCCCAAAATAACCTTATCCTCTCTCCTCAATCCTTCAAACCCAGTTCTCTCTCTCTCTCTCTCTCTCTCTCTCTCTCTCTCTCTTGGCTTTCTCAAACTCGTCGCTCTGGCTCTCGCCCTCCTCGCCGTCGCCACCTCCGCCCAGGCTCCCAAGCCTCCCC